CTTTCTTTCTTTCTTTCTTTCTTTCTTTCTTTCTTTCTTTCTTTCTTTCTTTCTTTCTTTTCAGTCCTCCTTTCTCTTTATTCTTCCTTCCTTCCTGTCCTCCTTTTTCTTTTTCTCTTTCTTGATACTTTTTCTTTTCAGTCCTCCTTTCTCTTTATTCTTCCTTCCTGTCCTCCTTTTTCTTTCTTTCTTCCTTCACTTGTTTTCTTGTCCTTTTTCTTGATTCTTTCTTCACTTTCTTTCTTTTCAGTCCTCCTTTCTCTTTATCCTTTCTTTCTTTCTTTCTTTCTTCCTTCCTTCCTGTCCTCCTTTTTCTTGATTTATTCTTTCTTTCTTCACTTTCTTTCTCTGGCATTCCTCCTTTCTCTTGATTTATTCTTCACTTGCTTTCTTGTCCCTTTTCTTGATTCTTTCTTCACTTTCTTTTTCTTTTCCTGTTTTTCTTTATTCACTTTCGTTTTCTTTCTTTCTTTCTTTCTTTCTTTCTTTCTTTCTTTCTTTCTTTCTTTCTTTCTGTTCCCTAGAGCTCCCCAATCCTGAGGCTGCTCAAGGGACTTTCATTCCCAGGCATGAAGATCAGGGTGGGGGGAAGGGCAACCCCTTGGGATGGGGGGGAGAGGAAAAGGAGCAGCCTGCAAATACCCATCCCTGAGAAAGGGGCAAGTCACCCCCAGGACACACTCACCCCTTTCCCGGCGGGACAGGCCACTGGTGAGGCAGGGAGGGGGCTGGGCAGACTAAGAAGCGGGGGGCGCCCTGGGGAGTGAGTCCTGGCCTGGCACGTCTCTGACTCTCGGTGCTTTGTCTGCAGGGAGCGAGGTGTCCCAGGAGGGTTTGCTACTGCACGGGCCCTTTGCCAGGAAGCCCAAGCGGATCCGCACGGCCTTCTCCCCGTCCCAGCTCCTGCGGCTCGAGAGGGCCTTCGAGAAGAACCACTACGTGGTGGGGGCTGAGCGCAAACAGCTGGCCAGCAGTCTCAGCCTCTCCGAGACCCAGGTAAGTACAGGGGGAGGGATCCATCCATCCTCCCTCTATCCCTCCCTCCCTCCTTCCAGAGCCTCTCTTCCTCCTTTCATTGTGGTGCTATGTGCCAGGCAGAAATGGATAGGTCACCCTTTGCTTGGCTGCGGGGGTGCAGTAGCTGCCACATGTTTCATGGGGGGGGGGTGTGCACAGAGGGGAACAATCAGGGCCTGAACTCAAAGGGGACCCGAAAACATCTGTAACTGGGGTGAAGTGGGAGGGCATCAGGCCCCAGGCAGTGTAGCAGGCTCCCAGATTCGTCATCCCGGGTCTCAGCACAGCTGTGCAGCCAATTCCCTGAAGTGGCTCCCATTCTGCTGTGCAAACAAGTTTCCTCTGGCTGCCCAAGCTGGGCGGACGCAGGAGTTAGGGTGGGTGGGTACTCAGACAAGATACTGCAAGGACTAGCGCCTCTTAGCGCAAATGGTATTTGCAGGCCAAGGGACTGATAGTCATGGAGCACAGCATCCTTTTCCTTTAGCAAAATAGGTTACTATTATTACGGTCTGGCTGTCCCTCGTATCTGTCGAATCAAAAAACTGTCAACTATCTACAAGAAATCAGTAAGGAGTAAGGATATCTGGGAAGGGGAGGAAATTCCTCAGGACTTCAAAGATGCAATCTTATTACACTATACAACCGTAAAGGCAACAAATCTGACTAGCTTAACTCCCAGGCTGACTCCCTGCTCTCTGTAGGTGATAAAAGACTTTCCCCTACTTTGCTCAATCAACTTACTGTGATTATTATTATTCAGTATATCAAGGCCTTGAGACCCAGCAGTACAAATGTTTGTAAGATCATTTCCCCCGAAGTCCTGGGCTAATGGAACGATACTCTGTGGATTAATTTTTAACTTATACATAATTATGGGATAACTATTCCTGCTAATAACAATCATTACAAAATGCGTTGCTCTAAAACCCACGACCTGTAGCATTATTCCATTGCATGTAACACTGCAAAAAAGGAACCTTATTGCACTTGTTTGTTAATATAGACAAACGTTACAATTTGTAGAAGTCGAGCCAGATAAGAAATAGAAGTCAGGAGTTGCTGTAAATTAAAGAGGAATGGAGGTTCATTTTAATCAAAACTTTCCCCCATCTTGGACAAGATTTTACAAGGGCATTTTTCCTTACAGTGTTAAGAAAAACTGAAATCCAGAAATTGTATAGATAGGAATGTGGATGTAAAAATATACCATAGAGAGAAAAGATGCAGAGGTGAAGGAACCAAGGAATATACCCAGACTGGATCAGACCAGAGGTCTGTCTAGTTCAGTATGCTGTTTCCAACAACATCAGCTTCTTCAGAGGAAGGTGCTAAATTCCCCACAGTGGACAAGTATGGAATAAGCTGCCCATCAGCAAAGTTTCTTCTTACTCCTCTCAGTCGGTGGTTGTCTTATTCCCTGAATTAGGAGGGTTTATATTCCTTCAATGTTGTTATCCAATCTAATGTAGCCGTGGATGTTCTCATTATCCACCTCAGTGGCCAATCTGTTTTTGAATCTTGCTAAATTCTGTGTTAGTATATATTATACGGTATAAATATATAACTAAATTTACACGTATGTATACACACACACACACATGCATGCATGCGCACACAGGTTCTTGGAAGAAATCAGTAGCAAAAAGTTGCCCCAGGATTAAAAAAGTTTCTGAGTTTGGGTTATTGGGCATAATTTCAGGAACCGCTTTCAACCTTTGGAAAAACTGGTTTCATAGATAGATGAGGCTGAGCCACAGAATTCAGACTTGGATCCAGATCCAGTCTCCCCAGTGCTTTGGTTCTGCATATCCCCATTTGGAAATTTTTGAACCCCGGGGGATCATTTTAAATGTGTTCACCCCAAATCCAATGAGACAGGTCAATCGCTGGGATGCCTTTTGCCATCCACCATCATCACCCATGCTCTGCGGTCCTGTGTTCTTCTTTGCTTCTTCTGTCATGCCTCACGTATGAAGCCGGCTCTCAGAAAACCCCCCAAAGGGTAATGAAACAAATGCCAATTAGTTTTGAAGGCAACAGCCGTCAAATATTGCCCCAGGGGGTCAAGGAGTTCTTGGGATTGTGCTATTTTGCCCCAAGCCTAATTGCAATTTGTTCAGAGAATTGAAAGACGTGTATCTCTAAATCTGGGCGGACGTGCATGTGTATAGACAGAAAGAGGGTGGAATCTCACGTTTTAGTCTCTGTTCAGTAATATTGTATATTTATAGTTCTAGAAATCCTGTGGATGCATTTTTGTAGCTTTCTAGTACAGGGTTATTTATCATCTGCATTCACTCGGTGAACACAGGTCGGCGGCTTGCACGGGGAGACTTCTCTTTGGAATCGCCACTAACCTACGGCCAGATTCTGAGCCTTTAATAGCAGTTCAGTGTGACCTCACTCCACAAAGCGTCCCACAGAAATCATTCGGAGTAAGATGCTAAACTGGAGGAGGAGGATCAGACCTGGCCCTGAAATATCACCAAAGTAATTTAGCTCATAAATGCAGCAACAGCGCTATTTCCAAAGGGAACTTTTCGATTTCAGCCCAGATGCGTAGTGTTATTAATTTATTTTTTCATTTAGCTTGGTAGCTTTTTAAAATTTATATTTGATCATGTAAAGTGTGTGTGTGGGAAGAACCAATTTTCCATGAGAAATACACAAATGCTGTACCTGAAACATATGTATTACTGTACGAATGGGCATCAAAGTACTGACAGAGACCCCGACTGGTCGCTGGACTCAATCTATCCCAGCCACTCTTCTGAAAAGAGCAATTAAAAAGTGTAGCTCAGATTGTAACACACATTTATAGCCACCACATATATTACTACAGTGTGGGTATATGATGTGTAAAATATACATGCACACACCTCACACACTGCCAGTATATGGTATACACTTCATCATATATAAGACACACATGGTGTGTCATGCATGACACACGCACCATCGGATAGGTAAGATTCTCACACAAACACCCTTCTTACGTAACATAGGCACCGTCTGTCCTATCGCACCCACACAGAGCCTCACATATAAACATGCCCGTACATATTTTGGATTTTAGATGAGATATGCAAATTACCTAAATGTCCCCCCAAATCAGTAGCTTGACTCCCAGGCCTACTCTCGCCTGCAGAGGTGTGGCGCTCAAGGTGGGACCTTGCCCCATCTCTGAGCAGTTCTTCTTCTGGCACTTGATTTCTGAACTTCGTCCCAGTCTCAGCTAAGACTTTCTGGGATGCTTGGAAGCACCTGCCTCCGCTCCTGAGAAGAGGCAGCTGCAGTGTCACAGCTGGAGTGAGGCACAACTGGGACCAGAGAGCAACATCTGGAGCAGCCCGGAAAGAAGGTAGAGAGGGGTCTGAAGAGACTCACCCACACCTGTCCATCCTTTTGGGTCCCAGCCCAGGAAAAAGCTGGGTATTGCCCAGACATTGCCTTTGGATATAGGGTATGAGGTGTATAGAAGGGAGACTAATCTCCTGTCCTATGGAGTTAACAGAGACTGAGGCTGGGGTGTGGGAACCAGAGAGGGGGGCTGAAATAGATTCAACAGGGCTATAACACACCTACTAATGGGGGTCAGTCTGGGGTGTGTCCACAGGGGATCCAGCCCAGACCATACCCACTAACAGGAGGGGTGGTGGGTTTCTGGGTGCTGTGCTGCCGTTGGGGTGTGTGTGTGTGTGTGTAGTTTATGTGCTGTGTGTTGATTTGGTTAGGAGGGATGGTGGGTTTGTGGGTGCTGTGTTGCCATTGGGGTGGGGTGTGCATAGTTTGTGTGCTGTGTGTTGATTTGGTTAGGAGGGGTGGTGAGTTTGTGTGTGCTGTGCAGCTGTTGGGGTGTGGTGTGTGTAGTTTGTGTGCTGTGTGTTAATTTGTTTGGGGAGTGGGGGTTTGTGGGTGCTGTGCTGATAATGCTGGCATGTATGTGTAGTTTGTGTTCTCTTTATATGGGGATTTGAGAAGGAGGGGTTTAGGGTTTGGTGTGATGTGCTGATGCTGTGATGTGTGCGTAGTCTGTGTCCAGCCTGTGGAGAACAGATCCATAGTACGTGGGGCAGACAGGACAATACATTGATCCTAAGTCTAGCATCCGTGATAGCATCCTTCTTGTATAATACATGCACCTTCTCTCATCCCATTCATGCACAATCACACACACAGATATTTTTAATTTCAGATGAGAGAAGTGCAAATTGCCTAACCGGCCCCCAAAGACACACACACGCACAACTCCAGTGCTGATGCTGGGGGACAGGGGGCGTTGTCTGTGTACTGTGATCTATACTTGGTCCAACCTTAGCCCTACGTTTGATTCTATGGGTCAATTCGTGTCAGAAGGCTTGTGGGCTTGGTGTGACATGCTGATGTGGGATGCAGGTGTAATTTGTGTGTGTCAATTTGTGTCAGAGGGGTTGTGGGTTTGTTGTGACGCACTGATGTTGGGATGCATGTGTAGTTTGTGTGCTGTGTGCATGTTGATTTGTGTCGGAGGAGTTGATGTGAAGTGCTGATGCGGGGAAGTGTCCATAGCTTGTGTGCTACATATGTGTCGATTGGTGTCAGAGGGTTTGGTGCGACATGCTGAACTGGAATGCGCGTGTCGTTTGTGCACGATGTGAGTGTGTTGATTTGTGTTGGAGGGTTATGGGTTCATTGTGACGTGCTGATGCCGGGATGCATATGTAGTCCATGTGCTGTGTGTGTTGGTTTGTTTAGGAGGAGCTGTGGCTCTGTGTCAGAGGTGCGGATGGAGGGGTTGTGTTGGCTATCGAGTGTGTGTTTGTGTGTGTGTGTGGTTTTGGAATAATTTTGCCAGATGAAATTGACAAAATGCTGCTAGACTTTTTGTGAAGCTTTTTGGCCAATGAAAACCACCCTGTTCGCTAGAGGCAGGTCTCGGAGGTGACTCCTCTAAACTCCAGCTGCAAAGCAGGAGGAAGACCATGGCTGGGTGGTTC